TCAGTTTACCGCTAACCCGACAGCACAGGACGTGGTAGGAAACAGCACCCTGTTGTGCATCCGTGCAGATCAGAGCGTGTATTTCCTTGTTTGTCCGCGTCTGTAGCAGAGGAGTTTTTCCCAAGCCGTGTGTGCTAAGGTCCAGCTCGTGAGGGAAGGGAACCGAGGAGAAATGGCTCCTAGAGGAGGGGCCTGGGTTGTGTGGATATTTCTAGAACACTGGGAGGAGGGGTCCATGCAGTCATTCCCTGCGTCTCTGACAGAGGCACCTGGGCAGTCACTACTAGGGACACTGTCAGTGGGGAGCCCATGATTTGCTACATTAACAAGGGCTTTGTGAATTTCAGGCCACGCTATGCCCATCCGCTCCCTGACCTTCTCCCCGGACTCCCAGCTCCTTGTCACTGCTTCAGATGACGGCTACATCAAGATCTATGACGTGTAAGTTTCCGTGCGGACTCGGGCTTCTCTCCCGGGACCAGTGCCCTCCCGGTCTTCCGCTGCTTGGAGGAGCCCCGGGTCTGGCAGAGACTTGTGTGCAGGGTCCAGGCATTGCTCCCCCTTCCACATCCCTGTCCTTGAACTTGGAATGTCACGGGCTGCCCGCTAGGATCAGTACTTCCTGCCTGTTTCCAGCCATTCCATCTCTTGTGGGTCTCATGGATTTTAAGTTCCATCAGGGCAGTCAGCCGTGTATGAGGAGGCGGAACCACAGGTGGTCGCGGGCCCGGGGTGACGGCTAAAACATGGCCCTCCCGCAGGCTGTCCTCTGCTCTGCCAGGGCGGCTCTCAGTTCACCCACCACCTCACTGCAGGTCTAGATGAGGGATGCTCTTTGTGGGTGGTTTGGGCCGCAGGTGTAGGAGCAAGGGGTCATTCTCTTCAGGTCCTAGCCATCTTTGGTTGTAAGCCTGTACAAGGCCCCTTCCTCCTGGAATTTCCTGCTCAAGTCTCCCCTGGAAGGGGATTAACTGTGTCGTTGACCCTTCTGCTCAGTACCAGGCATGCCTCCGGTTCACGCCTCCCAAATGTGGCCTCCTGGTGCCCCGGGTACACACGGCCCGCTCGTCCGTGCCCCCGCAGGAGTGGGCACCGGGATCGACCGGGATTGCCCCAGTCCTGGCTGTCCGTGTGCACACCCTCCTGTGCGCCTGTGAGGGCTTTCCCGGGGTCTGCGCAGGGAGCAGGGACACTGAGGACAGGAGGCGGTCAGCAGGGCAGCGAGCAAGAGCCGGCTGGGTGCTGCAGCTCGGGAGGGGCGCCCCTGCCCAGCTGTGCCGCTCGTGGGTCCCAGAGCCCCAGGCCGCTGTGGCCGGCGCTTCAGCGCCTGACTCTGCGCTCGAGGCCGTCATGACTACAGTTCCGGCCTCCTGACTAAGGGGGATGCGTGTCCCCGAAGTGCAGAGGACAAGCCCAGCCTAAGGCGGGTTCCTCTGAGGCCCCCTCCCCCTCCAACCCCCTGTAGTGCGCTCTGTGCTGCCCGAGGGGCTGCACCTCAGTCGGGCCGCGGGGTTGTCCTCCCGCCCCTGCTGTCGGGCTTGCGCTTACGTGGAAGTAAAAATGCCTTTTGTCGTTAGACCTGCCTTGTTCTCGATTCGATTAAAAATGGGCTCTCTGAGCCCCATCCGTTCTAAGGAGTGAGTGTGGACGGCTCCAGGGACAGGAGCCCTGGCCCCGCGTGGAGAGGGCGCCGGCAGCGTGGCGGGCGCGGAGCCAGCCGGCTCGCCCTGCGGCTTCGCGTTCCCCACTCAGCAGTCGTCTCGCCTCGCGCCCCACTCTCTGCTGCGGGGCAGCCACTGTTCTAATGTGCGGGAGGCTCGATGTCTGCTCGGTCTTGTCTGACGCTCTCCCGTTGCAGACAACATGCCAGCCTGGCCGGCACACTGAGCGGCCACGCGTCGTGGGTGCTGAACGTCGCCTTTTGTCCCGATGACACACACTTCGTTTCCAGGTACGTGTGGTTCTCAGCAGCTCCCTACATGCTAAGAAGGTGAAAGTCATCGTTTATGTATCGCCTTAAGATCTGAACGGTCTGGCCCTTTGTTATTCAGGTAGACTTTGTTTTCTGCGTTGGTTTTGTCGGTGGTTGGGGGTTTTTTTAAGTTATGTAGGTAGTTAATTGTCTTTCGCCAGAACAAAGATCGATTCTTTGGAACAGTTCAACTTTGAGTGTTTTCTTATAAATCTAGGCTTCCTCATGTAGGGACTTTAGGGATCTCTGCGGTCCAGTAGTCACGTACACTGCGTACCTCTGTGTGCAGAAGTCGTGCCTTTGGAGCCTGTGTCGCTCAGGCCGAGGACGGCCAGCTTCTAGCATCACACAGCTACAGAAGCCTCTTCCTTTAGAAGTAGCCTTCAGTGGGGGCTTTCCCAGCCCTGCCCCCACCGACCTGGAAACAGGCTCACGTGTCTGAGACTCCTGATGGGAACCCAAGGATAAGGACTGGGCAGATGAGAACTTGAGGGACGTGGCCGCTTCGCACGTAGGAAAAGCCACCAGAGAGGCCAGCACCCAGAGCTCCCTGGGGCCCCTGCTGGCCAGGAGGCACACAGGTGGGCAGAGTGTAGATGAGCGAAGGAGGATGGAGTTTCTGGTCAGATTCCTTCCAACTTAAAACCAGAATACAAACTGTTTTGATACTAATGTTCCCTTCTGCACATAGTTCATCCGACAAAAGTGTGAAAGTTTGGGACGTTGGAACGAGAACGTGTGTGCACACCTTCTTCGACCACCAGGATCAGGTACGGCAAGAGTTCACATTCGCGTTCCTTTGTCTTTGGTTCCTGGCGTTGTCTGAGTGCCGCCGACGACACCCGTCCCCGTTCTCGGCCTGCTGCTGGGCTGCACTCCCTGCGTGGGTGGTCCGACAGCCAGCGTCCCCGTGCACCGTCTGCACCCTTGGCCTGGAGAGCTGTGAGGTGTGATGTCCCCTCAGGGGCCAGAACACACAGCGCTAGCCACATGGCCGTCCAGTGCGGGTGCCCGGAGCGTGCCAGGAGCACTCTTCCTGGTGCCACCTGCCGTGGCTGGCTCGGGAAGGGCCTCCCTCAGAAGTGCCTGGTGCTCTGGGGCACCTGGTGGCTCAGTCGGTTAGGAGTCCGCCTTCGGCTCAGGTCATGATCCCAGGGTGCTGGGATCGAGTCCTGCATCAGGCTCCCTGCTCAGCGGGGAGTCTGTTTCTTCCTCTCCTCTCTGCTCATGCATGTGCCCTCTCTCTCAAATAATTTTTTTTAAGTGCCCGTTGCTCAGACACACAGCACTTGTTATTCTTAGAGGTGTCCACAGAAGTGGTGTGATGTTTTCTTTTTTATAACATACCCAAAGCCATAAATTCTTATAGGTTGTTTCGCTTTAAGCAACATTGGTAACTTTTGCTTCAGTCTTTAAATGAGGAGGAAGGGGCTCTGTGCTCCCACAACCTTTTTGTCTTTGCCAGCGTGGATGTGAAAGGAGCTAGGGCTCCAGGGAAAGGCAGGAGTCCGCACAGCGCCTGCTCCTACATTTCTAAGCAGCTCCAAGTGAGGCCCATGTTGCTGGTCCCAAGTAGCAAGTCTCAGGAAACTGGTCACTTTAGGGAACAAAATGCCTATGGCGGTAAAAAGGTGGCTTCTAATATTTTTAATGAAGATTCTGGGGGTTTTATTTTTCATTTTTTCTTTTTTTTTTTTTTTAAAGTAACTGGGGGCTTGAACTCACAACCCCAAGATCAAGTTCGCACGTTCTGCCGACTGAGCCAGCCAGGCGCCCTGATGGGCTCTTTGGAACGTAGCTTAACGCTGACTTTGCTGTTCCTGTGCTCTCGCGTCTGATCCGAAATCATTGCTGATGAAGTTGGGGGGTTCATCTTGATAGTTCACCGCGAGGGTAAAGCCTCCCTGCGGGCTTGTTTCCCAGCACGTGAGGCTCCGCGTGCTGTCGTCTCAGAAGCGCTGCTGGGTAGAAGGGAGGCCATCGGCCCACCCAGTGACAACACTGGGCTCAGGGCTGGAACCCCCACGTGGGGTCAGAGTGACAGGCTGACCCGGTCCACCTGCAGCCACATCACCTTTGTCAAACCACTGCCCCGTGCTGGTTGCTGGCTCAGCTCCGGGGCCTGGCAGGCTCCAAAGGCTTAGAGATCATCCCTGGCTGGGGGCGGGGCACGGGACTGAGGGGACGCCCCAGGGTAGTCGTGGGCCACCTTCTTTCTGGAGATGTGAATGAGAGCCCATGCTGGTCCCTTGCAGATGCCCGCTTCATGGCATGAGGTCGGGACTCCCCAGAATCTGAAACTCTGAACGTCTGTGGAGTGCGGGAGGGGTGCGGGAGGTGAGGGAGTGATAAACAGTAGCAACGCAGGTGCCGGGTCAGGGGAGGCCCCATTCCCGCTGGCTCAGCACCAGAACCGTCTGTCTCGATTCAGTCTAGTGAGAGGACACAAGCGTGTTTGTTTGTAAAGAATAAAGGCATTAGAGGGGCGCCTGAGTGGCTCAGTGGGTTACAGCGTCTGCCTTCAGCTCAGGTCCTGATCCCAAGGTCTTGGGATCAAGCCCCGCATTGGGTTCTTTACTCAGCAGGGAGCCTGCTTCCCCCCCCCACCCCTGCCTGTCTGCCTGCTTGTGATCTCTGTCAAATAAATAAAAAAAATTTTAATTTTTTTAAAAAGGATACAGGCATTAGAACTTTTATTTTTGATTTACAGGTCTGGGGAGTAAAATACAATGGAAATGGCTCAAAAATTGTGTCCGTGGGCGATGACCAGGAAATCCATGTCTACGATTGCCCTGTGTAAACGCCACTCTCAGACCGGTGTGTACATCATGACATTCCTTAACCTTTCTAGCATTTATTGGAGCAGAAACCTAAATTTTGTAGATACAGATCAGTCTTTTCATGTTCTATTAGAAATGCTGTTCGTGCTCGAACATAAAGTGTTCATAACACAAACCCCGTGTTCGTGAACAGGCTTTTTCAGCTGCCCTGGTGTGGGTGGGAGAGCGGGAGGGGTGTCTGCCCCAGAGATGGCGGGATCCGGCGCTCACCGGCCCTCCCAGCCAAGAAGCCCAGGCTTGCTCTCCAGAGGGTTGAGCCCCACACACTGCCGGTCTCAGAGTGGGGTCCTGAAGGGAACGGGGGTTTGCCCCACTAGGGATGCTCTGGAGTCCTGCCTGTCTGGGCATCTACTGAGAGCCTGAGCACGTCACCTACCACACTGTGCACCTGATGGCTGCACAGAGGGCTGTGGCCTGTGGTGGACCCTACTGCCTCTGCGATGTCCTCAGGCTCCGGCCCCGCCTCCAGCACGCCAGAGACCGGTGCCCCTTCAGCGGGGCCCGTGTGAAAATGGCTCACTCTGAAGATGATTGCTTATTAATGACTTCATATGCCTGTGAGATTGCATGCTTGTCCCCCAGTCCCATCACCCTCCAGATGAAGCCCGTGCCCCTCTCCTGCTCCTTGGCCGCCCTCCTGTAAGCACAGCCGTGGACGCTTCCCCCGCCCAGCATCGGCACTCGCCCCACCTCGGGTCCGAGCTCCCGTCCGCTGGTGCGAGGCAGGCTGGCCCGTTAACACCCGTGGGGGAGCTCCCGAAAACATAAACAGCCAAAGCCACTTGTCTCTCATCCCAGCTCAGGTTTAATTTTGCAGTGATGGGTGTACAGGGGGGGTGAGTTTTAGGCGACACCCTCCAGATCCCATCCCCACGACCGGGGATCGGGAGCCGAACGTAGTTCCGCCCCCCAGCAGTCGCTTGGTGGGGAAGACCAGGGAGTTGTGGTCCATTTGTGGACGGGTTTTCACACGGGCTCGGTTGGAAGAGTAGCTTTAAGGTCTGTCCTGATCGATGGTCAAAGCAGGGACCATTCTGAGCAAGTGGCACCCACCCACCCGGTCCTGCTGGAGCCTGGTCCCCTCCACACGAGCCAGCTCAGCCCAACTGCGTGGGCCTGATGGACCCTCCACCCCCCTGCGGCGGCCCCTGGCGTCAGACTCTGCTTCTCCAGAACCAGGGGCAGGCGGTCTGGTGCGCGAGCGGCTTCTGCCCTCACCCAGCCACATCTAAAGCATTTTCTGACCCCAACGGCCATGGGAGGGAAGGGACCGGTGATGGCTGGGGCTGCAGCAACTCCACGTGAGCTGTGGCCGCCTGCTGGGAGTGAAGCAGTGAGGACAGTCCGTCGGGGCAGGCGGCCCACGCCACCATGCACAACAGAGCCCTGCCCGAGCAGGAAGCCGTGTCCCGTGGCCGCGCAGCCAGAGGAACAACCTCGGAGGGGGTGCGGACGGACGTCTGTGCCTTCCCAGCCTGGGCTGCTGCTCCCGTGGCCACTGCCGAGGCTGCAGGGTGTGTGGGAGTGTCCTTTTCTTCACGGTAAGCACTCAGGTGGGAGAGCACTGCAGAGGCTGCCGGTAGGAAGTCCTCACGACCACAAACAAGGTGCAGGGCCCCAGCAAACAGTTATGTCAGCCTGGTGTGTCCTCACAAGGTACCAGGAAGCTTCCAGAAATTTCCGAGAGAGATGATCACACACCCACTGCAGCCCCAGAGCAGCAGCAAGGCTGGTGGCCCCGCAGCCCTCGCCCTGTGAACCAGGCCCCGGGGCTGAGCGCAGGCCACAGACGTGCTTCTGTTCTGGAGCAGGATCGTCTAGAATCTAGACGCAGCAGCCCTGGGGCAGGGCAGGGAAGCCGCGCCTGGGGCACTGCCCAGGGCCCTGCTGGGGGCTGCCCTGGCGGACAGGACACAGCAGAGCCCCCAGGAGCAAGTGTCAGTGCCGTCCCTGGCATCTCAGAAGTGTCCTGAAAACGTGAATAAGCAGATCCGTGTGCAGACTGGGAGTCACACTTGAAACATTTCAATATAAATTAAGCTATAACTTAAGTGACAACCAAAGGAAAACAAAAGAAAAACCAAGAAGACACTCAGCACCTGAGAAGGTGAACACATACACAGGACACCCCAGACACGAGGCCGTGAGGCGATGCCATTTTCATTGTGCCAACGTTACACTCAGGGTGCTCGCGCGGCCGCTCACGCCGTCTGGCACTGCACCCCGGCCCGCGGCCCGTCATCGTCCTCCTCGTAGGCCTCCCGCTGCTGCCGCCAGTTCTGCTCGCCGGGGCTGAACTCCTTCAGCTCCACCTGGTCCATATCGTCCGTGACCCTCACCTTCTGCCTTGGGGGCAGCAGGGCCTCCAGCTGCGGGAGCTTGTCCTGAGGCAGCCAGTGTTTCTCGGGAAAGACGACCTGCGGGGGCGAGGAGCGAGCTGTGGCGGCGGCCCTGGCGCGGAGGCCCGCCCGGACCCCGCCCGCGGCGGCCACACTCGGGAACTTACGAGGAACTGGATGATCAGGGTCCCCTTCTCCGGGGCCGCTTTGTAGACGGGCATCCCTTCGTTGCGCACACACCTCAGGTCCCCGTGCCGGATCACCTCGCCTGCCGCAGAGAAGGCTCAGTCAGGAGCGGGAAGGCCCTGCCCGGGCTGGGGGTGGGGACACGCCGGGTTGGCGCCCGGCCCCTCCAGCGCAAGGTGAACGAGTGTGAAAAGCCAACCAGGAACCAGAACCCTGGGGTCGGGGCTGGAGGCGGTCCAGCCCACGGTGGGGTCTGCCGCGACAACTTTCAAAAGGCACCACAGGGTTCAGGCCCCAGGACTGCAGAGCTGCACATCTGAAAATCCCATCTCCCCCAACAGAAAGAAAGGGCCCAAGAGTCCCCCTGGAGATAAGCTGTTCAGCCCGGCAGTGACGACACAGACAAGGGCGTGAACCTGCAGAGGAGTGGGGGAGGGGCTGCCAAACGCTGATTGTGGGGCAGCCTGCTCCCCACCGCGGACTCGGCAAGGGAGAGGCACCGAGGACCTTCTCCGGGGGCATGCAGGGGGCGCGGGGCCTTCAGCCGCAGGTCCTTCAGTGGTCCTGTGTGCTAGAAAGTTCTGTCTCCGCTCCTACCCCTCACGCTCCTGCCTCTGACTGACGGGGCCAGGAAGCCACCTGCGGAAGGCGCCCCCCCCCCCCCCCCCCCCCCCCTGCCCCCCCCCCGGGGGGGGGCGGCGCCCCCCGGGGGGGCGCCCCCCCCCCCCCCCCCGTCCCTGTCGGCTGCCAGGGCACCTTCCCCACCCTTCCCGAGTCTCTGTGCCTTGACAGCAGAAAGAGGAGACAGCAGCAGCGAAGGGACGAGAAGTAAGGCGCAGCTACAAGACGGTGCGGGAGGACAGGACACGGAGCAGCGTCAGCGAGCAAGACGGACAAGAGAGGTCTCCGGCAGAAGGTTCTCCCAAGCCCCGGCCCCTCCCGTCACCACGCTAGGAACAGCGTCTCTCCTCTGCCCCAGGCCACCAGCAGGGTACTGCCCGTGCGCAGTGGGACGCCGGGAGCCCTGCGACCGTGAGGCTTCCCACGACTCCCTGCGGACGCTGGCCTGTCACACCCTCGGTGCCACAGTCAGGCCTGGGGCCACACAAGCAGACCCTGAACCCACACCTGCTTGCGACCTTCTCCCTTCGAGCAGGGGGGACTAGGGCCCCGGGGGGGCCGCGGCTTGCGGCTTCACACGGGCATTGCCTTACAGCACAGTGCCCAAATGGGCTTCAGTCGACAGGAGGGAGTGACCTTGGTACTGTTTATTTTTACAACTTTCTGTGAGTTTGAAGTTTCCAAATAAAAAGTTTTTTTAAAAAAGAAAAAACTCTGATCGAGGCTTGGATATAGAATCCATACCCTTTTACGTACAGAAAAGGAGAAAACAGTGCAGAAGGAAGCAGCAGAAAAACCGAACGAGGCCAATGGGAAGGAAGCAAGCACACGGAGGCCGGGCCCCTCTACGGTCTGCGCACCTGGCACCAGCCACGGCCACGCGGGGACAGGCAGGTCACGACCCACCCAGCCCCAACGGAGGCCGCTGCAAGCTATTCCCTGACCTGGCAGGGAGGGCGTGGGCGTGGCAAGGGGACCAGAGAAGCTCCACTCGTGGCCAGAGTGTCAGCCAGCACCACCCCCACCCAGACGCACTCTGACACACGAGCGGCCTCCGTGTTGCCAGAGGCGGCTTCGTGTGTGCTGGGTGCACGCGCCCTGGAGGACACTGGCAGTCCTCGGTGCTGCCCCCCAGGCCTGTGTGTGTGAGCAGCCAAGGCCAAGATGACGGGCAAGGTCTTCTCAGGAAAACTGGACCGGACGGTGTCTCCCATGTGCCACAGCACAGAAGCTGGAGGGGCGCGCGCAGGACAGTCCACCGCCATCTGCTTCCCACACCAAGTTTTTAAAGCTTGAGGTATGGGGCTTGGCCCCAAGATTCCTGCTGGGGGCCCTCCCCCCGACTTGGAATACTTTCTAGGAGCATATTTAAAGAGCTCATAAAGTTCTCCAGTCATTAGCAGTGACCCTAAACTTGAGAGCAAAGGACATGGTGCTGACATCAGGGGTGAAGCGGGGCTAGCGGCCAGCAGCGTCCCAGACGCACCCACCCAGCCCAGCACTCAGAGACGCGCCTCTGAAACCTTACCCGACTTGGACGTGATCATGAGGATTCGATCATCCAGCGTTTTTAGCGTCTTCTTGAAGCCACAGAGGGCTTCAGAAAGCTGAATTTTCATTTTCATGATCAAGTCGTGGCCGCGCCTCTGAAAGACACTATGATCCTTCTGATCAAGCACAATTATGACATCGCCAGGCTCCAGCTCAGGCTCCTGGTCTCCTTCTCCATGAAACAGAATCTTTTGCCCATCTTTCATACCTGTGAGACATCGTCCTTTCTGATTAGCATTTCTCTTAAAAAACCATGCACTCTACAAAGCTCTGAAGATGGCACACAGCCCGTTGGGGACTTTGACTCATCAGACCTCCTGAGCTCGTGGGCACGAGCATCCGAGCAGTGGCTGGGATCGCCACGCCTCCCCCCGCACACCCACCACCGCGCGCCCGGGTCACCATCCACTTCCTGCTGCGCCCCGGGGCCTGGCTCTGGGGGCACGCACAGTCACGTGCTTCAGCAGAAGTCCTGGAAAAACACCCTCCTGGTGTTAATTTGTACACTTTGGTCTCATCTCTCATTAGTTCATATTCACCGGATTAGGAGCTCACAGAGTAACGCGAAAGTACCTGGAGAGCAGCTGACCACAAGAAAAGCCGTACAATGACGGTGAAAGGCGCACGGAGATGTGGGGGGCATACCTGGGAGCATCTGGGCAGTGGGGCGACTAGGTGCAGGAAGGAGCCCTCTGGCCAGCAATCGGCCAAGACGGTCACGAATGATTCCAAGGGAATGGTTTGAGAAGGGGAGGGTAGTTAACCAAACTCAAGGTCAAGCACCTTTCAGAGCACATGAAAACCTTCAAAAGGGGTTGTTTTGACCTGGAAGAAGCCAGCTACAGCATACAGACTGGCTGGTGACCGGCACTGCAGTGAAGCCGGGAGGGCGGGGTGGCGGGACCAGCGTCTGCGGCGCTGCGCTCCAGGTCCCAGACGCCTGACCTGTGCGCCCCACGGTCAGCCACCAGCAGCACACCGAGCGGGGGGAGCGCCTAGCTGTGCGGCCTCACCTTTCTCCACGTGCACCTCGATAATCTTCTTCTCGCGGATCACCTTGGAGCCACTGCAGCTGTCGCAGCGGTCCTTGGGGCTGATGCGCTCGCCCTGGCCCTTGCACTCGATGCACACGGTCTGGATCTGCTGCACCATGCCTGGCCCGATCTGCTGGATGTGAATCTGCATGCCGCGGCCCTTGCACAAGGGGCACTTCTCCACAGACCCCTTCTTCCCACCGACGCCTGCGGGGGACACGGGACTGAGAGCCGGGTTCCTCCACACGCGGCCCGTGCCCCTGCCAACAAGGGCGGTCAGCAGCCCTTACACGGGACACCGGGGTTGGAACTCTGTCTACAGTCTTGGTCGGCAGTATATAGTCTGGAGGATTCTAACCCAGCAAGGAACATGCAGACATTCCAGACATTAACACATGACTGTGAGTATCCACGGCTTTGGCCGAGCCGGCCACGTTCATTACGTGAGTTTCACGAGCTGGGCCTCCCGGTGGCCAAGGGGGCTGGGCTGAGAGACTGGAGGGCAGCAGCCCCACTCGGCCAGCTCAAGACCATTTGCATCTGAGGTCACCAATACGACTTTTCTTTAAAAATCCCAGTTTTGGGGGCACCTGGGTGGCTCAGTGGGTTAAAAGCCTCTGCCTTCAGCTCAGGTCACAATCTCAGGGTCCTGGGATCGAGCCCTGCATTGGGCTCTCTGCTCAGCAGGGAGCCTGCTTCCTCCTCTCTCTCTGCCTGCCTCTCTGCCTGCTTGTGATCTCTGCCAAATAAATAGATAAAATATTTTTTAAAAAATCCTTGTTTTTAAAAATTGTGTTCATTAAATTTACGTGTGAGTCAAGGGGCTGTAAACCACAGCCACCGTCCCTGGGTCACAGGGTGCTCTGCCCGTTTCTGCCCACGCTACTGGGGACCTGAAGCACTTCCTGCCCAACCCTGTCACAGGACAGGTTTGCTGACCCCTAAGTGGGGTGAGCCCTCTGCACTTTTACGTGTTTAAAATAATGATCTACATGTTAAATAAACGTCAGTCCGAATAAAGAACATACATGGCGCAATAAAACAGACCTGGCCCTTAGGCCACCGGTTTGCAGTCTGTTGGACCCTTAGATTTGAAAAGACAAAAAAATGACTTTTCTCCACATTATGGAACAATCAGAACTGTTTCCAGGTCTAAGGGATCACAACCGTGGGACTCATTCAAACATTCCCATTTACCTTCACATTTCTCACAAATTACGTTTTTCTGGAGGGCCAACTTCTTTGTGACTCCATTATACAAATCTTCGAGAGTTACAGACAGCTGATGGACAACGTTCTTGCCTTAGGGGGAGAGCAGGAACAGAGCAATGAGTACCACGGCAGGAGACGCAGCTGCCATGAGCTCCGGCTGCAGAGCCGTGCGGGGCGCTCACTCCCCTCCCTCGGGACAGGGTGCATCGGCCACACCCCCCCACCCCAGCCAGCCATGAGAACGAACACCCTTTGTAGCTAAGAGCCAATCCCTCAATCGTTTACAGACATCAACCAAAAGACCTTCCATCTTTATTTCCTAAAAACAAACCTGAGGCCAGTGCCCCACGAAGGAGCCCTTCCTCCCCTCCCTGAGGAGGGCATGAACGCTGTCTGCACACCTTTAACTGAAACTCCTCCCCGGGCTGTCTGCTCTTTCCTCTTTGAGCCCTTCTGTAATCTGTGGCCAAGTGGGAACTCTCTCCTCTGCTGAACTCTTATCTGTGGGCCCCGCGTCTTTGGGGAGGGAGTCTGTCCACCCAGGGCCAGGCCAGGGTCGGACGGTCGACGGCTCCCAGGGGCTCCCTCGGAGCTCCCTCGGTCGTGGAGACACACTGTCCCTGTTCACTGGCTGGCAACATGGACACGGGAGCTATTCACCATGAGACAGGGAGAGCGCTAGGCAGGAGGGGCCCGCACTTTCCATCGTGTCCGTTGTCAAGTACACGAGCCAGCAGCCCTGACGTGGCGCCAGGGCTCTTCCTGACGGACTCGGGACTCTAAGCATCCTGTGTTTGAGAGCGGGTGGCCAAGCTTCTGAAGCTCGAAGTCGATTGTAACGTGAAACAGATACCACCTTATCCCTCCAGGGCCTCTTGCTGTGGCAACCCACCCTTCGTAAACCCCTGGCGGAGCTCATTCCTCATTTTACGCAGGAGCTCAGTAAGCTAGGCTATCTGGACTCAAAGCAGAGTATCCACAGTCAACTGGACAGAAAGGGGCAACTGGGGACCATGGCTAACAGCCAGTGGCGGCAGCGCGTGGCCTGGCAAGAGGGAAGAGGTAGAAAAGCACAGCCCACAGCACAGCAGGCTGGGGCCCCCGTTCACCTCCTGGGGATGAAGCCGTGAACCATGACACACAGCAGAGCGCGAGGCGGGCAGGCTCTTACCGACCTGTTCGCACCTGTGCACCTGCGGGGGGGCGGGGCCCGAGCAGCCTGACAAAGTGAGACAGCCCACAGAGCGTCGGCCGGAAATAGAGCGCACGGACCGGGTCGGGGGGCAAGGACAGGAGGTGCTGCGATGTCCTGTAGGACACCCCATGGCCTGAACCCCATGAGCGAGACGCAGACAGCAAAAGGAATGTCCTTCCCCCTCCCCACTCACACCCACGGGCTCCCTGTTGGGTAGTGTCCGCAGGTGTCAGGCACGTGTCCAGGTGCGAAGAGGCTGGGGGCAGTCTGGACACTGGGGGGGTGGGGGGAGCTATTTAAGGGTAATGATCCCTTTTAAGGCATGACCTGCCCCGATTCCCATGACCGGTAGCATTTGAAAACTATGAAACTTGGTTAGTGTCCTTAAAAGGCACTCACCTCTCCTCTCTCGAGCCATCCGTCCCCCGCCCCCGAAGAACATGTCGAAGATGTCCATGGGCGAAGAGAAGCTGGGGCTGCCCGAGCCTCCTTCCTTGATGGCCTGCTCGCCGCCCTGGTCATAAATGTCTCTCTTCTTTGGGTCTGAAAGCACTTCATAAGCCTGGGATATGAGCTTGAACTTGAAAGTAGAGAGAGAGAGAGAAGGTGCAAGTCATTAGGCAGACCACGACTCTGAGGCGCTGACGGAGGTGTTCTGCACACAGTCGCGCTCCCCAGCAGGCCACGCTCCCTCTGGAACCCGGCTGCTCAGGAGCGGGGAGCCACGGGGCCTGCCGGGAGTGGTCGCTCCTCCCAGCCTCGCCTGCACACCGCTTGAAGCAAAGACAGTGAGGTCAGGCTGGGTGTAACCCGGTGCCCAGCAAGGGCCCGGCTCCCAGCCGCCAGCCTCCCCAGCCCCCCGTGCGCTAGTCCATCCGCACAAGGACGCAGCGGCAGACGCCTCGGGGGCACCTGTCCGCGCGAGCTGCAGACACCGTGTGACCCCGTCCTCCGGGCCCGGCCCGGTCCCCCCATCTCAGGTACCGCCAGCGCCAAAACCGTGCTTCCCTCCCCTCACACCTCATCTGGCAGCAAACTCTCTGCTCCAGTCCCTAAGATACCGCGCTCCTGCCCCCAGGAGCAGGGATCCGGCTGTAAACAAAAGTATCAGAAGACCCAGACTGAAAGACGCTCCGCAAGACAGACCAGCAAACAAGTGCACGTGTGACCGCAGGTCGGGGTGGGGGGACCACGAGTGGTCCCGGAGCAACTGCAGAAAGGCGAGTCTTTCCTCAGGGTCCAAGCTCTCCGGCGAGGTGGGCGCGCACAGGCCGTGCGTCTGGAGCCGCGCGGGAGCATCAGGGCCGGGAGGGAAGCAGGCGCCGCTACGTTTGTGGGGGTGGGAGGGGGCCAGCGCTCACTGCCACGCTCCTCTGGGTACATAGGTTTGTTTTTTTTTTTAACCAAAGGGCAGGGGGGCATGGATTTTTTTTTTTAAATAAAATTAGAACACTATGAAATATCTGCGCTCTGTCCTCACCACAGGGCACGCCCACACCCCAGAGGCCACCACTTGCACCCGGGGCCGCGCCGGAGCTCCTCAGTGGCCTGCACCTGTCCGCGTGCCGGCCTCTGTGTAGCCCACGGCACCCAGAGCGGGCCGGCACCCAGCCCACTGCCCCAGCTCTTCGGGGCAGCCTGTGGCCCTGGAGTCCAAGCCAGGCCTCGCTCTGGGCCACCCGGCCAGCTGCTGCCTTGCGCTCCCTACAGCCCCCCGCCCCCCACCACAGCGGCCAGTCCGAGAGCACAGGGCACACGCTCAGCCACATCCACTGCCGGACCCGGGACCCAGAGCCACGTCTGCGTGTTTGATGAATGGCCTGAGGCCAGGAGTTCAGAAATGAGTACAGGACGTAGGGTGCCCTCCAGAGTCCTCTCCAGTCTGTCAGACGGGGTCCCTGTCAACAGCCTACAGCACGGCCGGCTCCATAGCCAGCGAAGAGAACGTGCTAGAAGCAACCGAACATGGAAGTAAACAGAGAAGCTGGGTTTCCTCAGATCGCTGAGCAAGATCCACTCTAATTAACCAACAATAAGCACCAACTAACAAATAACGAGCTAATTTAACAGACCCAGTCCTCGAGGGACATCAGGCTTGCTCTCAAGGCAGCCATGTCTTGTGCTCCCTTGTTTCTGTTTCTGCAAAGCAGCAGGCCTCCCTCGCCCCTACCCCCTCCACGACAGGAAGACTGCGGCGTGGGGCACAGGAGCCCCGACCTTCCGGGCCCGGCCGCCGGTCAGGGACCAGATGAATACGCTGCCCGAGAACTTTCACAAGGACCACTTCCAAGTCCTCCCAACACCTGAAAGTCACCCCATGACCAACCTAAGAAGCGGAAATGCCCTGTCCCTTGGGCAGTTAACAATGGGCCATGTCTCCGGCAGGGTGCAGGCACCCACAACCCCGAGCAGGCCCGCCGCACCCCTGCGGCTCCAGCCCCCTGTTCCGGTCGTCCCACCCCCTCAGCTGGAGCTCAGTGCTCTCACCAGCTCACCTCTCCTGACTGTGGTCATGTCGCAGGACTGAGAACACCACGCGGCTAGACAAACGGGACTTCGGGATGACGTCACAAGTTGGAAGCGTGTGTGTGACATGAGCTGGCAAGCAAACCACCATCACCCCGCGGGAGGCCGCGTGCGCAGCGGCTCGGGAACGGAGGCAGGATGCCATGTGTGGCGGGCTCTCCTCTACGTGCTCGTGCTTCTCGTACTGCTACGCTCTTGTGTGATTTTTTAATATTTTATTTATTTATTTACTTATCTGACAGAGAGAGGGAGAGAGATCACAGCAGGCGGAGAGGCAGGGGAAGCAGGCTCCCCAGTGAGCGGAGAGCCTGATGTAGGCTCGATCCCAGGACCCTGAGATCATGACCTGAACCAAAAGCAGAGGCTTAACCCACTGAGCCACCCAGGCGCTCCTCTTGTACGATTTTTTTAACTTGAAAATCTATTATTCCAATGAAAAGCTACAGTGAAATTGGCCAAAAGCCCGAATTCCTCTCCAGGTGTGGAAGGGGAGAGCCCTGACCTGCGAAGGGGGGCCGAGCGCCCCATGGACAAGCCGCCACAGGGGCCCCACACACCCCAGGAGGGGCCGGTGGCCAGCACAGCTGCCCGATGCTTAGCAACACAGGACAACAGGGCACAAAACAAGGCCACCCCCTCCATCCCCGCTGGCTGGCTCACTCGCCTCCCCACGGGGTGAAAGGACCGGCTTAATCTATTTTTGAAGAGACATGAACAACACAGCGACAAACTCAGGAGGAACAACAAAGGTTCTACCAGTTCTTCCCACACAGAGAAGGTAGACAGGACCCGCACACAGACTTGCATGAGAAAGACAATGTCTATGTCTACACCGCGAGCCCAGCACACAGTAGGACAAAAACAGGGATCTGTGAATGAATGAGGAGGCTCCCCTCAGGGAACCTCACCCCCTTTGATCTCCAACCCCACTTCCATGGCAACTGCCGTCCCAGACCGTGTCTGTACGGGGTGTGCTGATTCCCTCCACCAGCCCGACCACCTTCCAGCCCCTGCACGGGATAGCAGGCCAGGGAGCGGGTGTGGGGGCCAGGGGGCGGGGGTGGCTGCAGGAATCCCACAAAAATTATCACCAGGGCAGGAGGAGGACGAGGCCAGGGGCTCAGGGCAGGGCTCAGCCTGCTGGGACCACAGAACTGAAGGTTCATGAGCGGTGGGGACATCACAGGACCCCCACGCCCTAGGCCCGCCAGCAGAAGCCTCACATGGGACACCCGTTCGGTGCCTGGCTCTGAGTACCAGCTTGGAGCAAACCAGACGGTCTACTGAGAGAGGGACGCACAGGCAGCACCCCTGGGAACATCGTGGAGGTCAAGTGAAAGTTTTCGAGCAGACTTGCTCCAAGGGCACACACACAGCCTTGAGCATGCTCCTGGACGCTGCTCCGAGCCCTGACCAAAGCCAGCTTCCGAGCTGTCCGCCGAGAAGCCTGGATCTGCTCCCCCCCGCCCGCCCCTCGAGAGGTGGCTCTCCCCGACAGGCTCCAGTGAGGCCACGAGCACGTCTGTGACTCCCCACACTACAGACGAAGCCAGGCCCTCAAACAGCCACAGTGATCTCTAAATATAGACGAGAACGCGAGTGAGTAGCAACGGTCTTGCGGGAAGCACGGTAAACTTGGGACAGCCGCACTCGGCACATGTGCCTAAATATAACCTCCCAGCTCCACCACCAGCCGCCAGCATGGGAGCGGGCACACACGGTGGCATCCTGGGGCTCCCGCCTCTAGATGCCTGATCAGCGGCTTCGGCCGCCAGCTGGGGGTCACTGCTGTCCCTACCGCAGGAGACCCTCCCCCACGCCACCTGAGACCGCAGTTTTTTCTAAGAAAGAGGCAAACTGTGGAAGGAGGAACCCCTAAGCAGCCTTCCCAAGAACCAGCAGGCGGTCCTGCCAGTCACCTGCTCAGTGGGTAACGGGCCTCCTGGGACAGAGCAGGGCGGCTGTTCCCAAACAGGGAATTCATTCCGGTCGCCACCACGCACAGCATTCCCTGCTGCGGGTCCTTAGGATCGACTCTGGGTCATTCGTCACAAAAAACCTGGACTATTCCTGTAAAGTGATGCGTCAGGGTAGAGATCTCCCATCCCCGCTTAACAAATGAGATTATTCAGTGTCTCATGACCTTGACCAGGTGGGAGACAGGCCAAATCCACGGGGTTCCCGGTGCTGATGCACCAACAAGGAAGAAACACAAACCATTCCACCCACCGGCAAGTGCACAACTTCTGGTGTTGCCTCCGTTTCCTGGGGTTGCCAGTAGCCCCTCCTACAGGGCTGCCCTCTGCGGCTGTGCCAACCACACTCCCCTGGGGAGCTGGACACATTGGGTGGCATGCTGGCTTGCCCTGGCAACGGAGGAGTGGGGGGCTCCGGGGCTCCCAGTGCTTGTTGCAGCCTCAACCCCCACCCCCACCCCCGCCATCTGCCCTCTCACCCCAATGCCCACAACAGCCACAACCCCGTGGCCTGCCCCCACCCCAGCCCCCTGACCCCCACCACCTGTCCTGAACCTGTCCTGAACCTGAATCCAACCCCAGTCCCCCAACCACAGCCCTGCTGCCAGCCCAGGACCCCAGCCCCTCAACCCCAGTCCCCTGACCCAAGCCCCATCCCAGCAGGATGGACCTTAGTCTCCCAACCCCCGCTGCCTGCCCCCACCCCAGTTCCTCAACCCCAGCCCCACTGCCTGCCCCTGACCCCAGCTCCCAACTCTAGTCCCCAGCCCCAGTTCCTCCACTGGCCCTGACCCCAGTCTCCCAACTCCCACTGCCTGTCCCCAACCTAGCAACCCCAGCCTCACACCTGCCCCAGACCCCCCAGCCCCACTGCCAGGTCCTGCGACCCCAGCCCCCTGACCCCCACCGCCTGCCCCCAACCTCATTCTCCCAACTCCAGGCCCCCAACCCCCGCTGCCTGCCCTCCGCACCAGCCCCTCAACCCCAGCCCGGCCACCTGCCCCCACACCCCGTTCCCTCAACCCCATTCCCCCCACCCCTGCCCCTCCACTGCCCGACCAGAGTTTCCCAACCCCCGCAGCCTGCCCCCAACCCCGCGACCCCAGCCCCGCCGCCAGGCCCCTGACCCCAAGCCCGCGACCCCCGCCACCAGCCCCCCCCAGCCCCGACCCCAGGCCCCCGACCCCCGCACCTTCTCGCCCTCATCCGGGTTCTTGTCCGGGTGGAACTTGAGCGCCAGCTTCCGGTAGGCCTTCTTGATCTCCTCCGGGGACGCGCTGGGCTTCACCCCCAGGATGTCATAGTACTGGGTCTCCTTCACCATCTTGTCCCTGCGGGCGGGCGGGGCGGGCGAGGCCGGTCAGCGCCCCCCGGACCTCCCGCCGCCCGCCCGCGCGTCCCGCTCCGGCTCCGGCTCCCGCTCCCGCTCCCGCCGCCCTGGGCTCCCGCCGCCCGCCGCCCGCCGCCCGGGGCCGCCGCACTCGGCCTCCGGCTCCTCCGCCGCGGGTTTTATTCGGCGCCGGCGGAAGGTTCCGCGAGGAGACGGTGACGCCACAAAGGCCCAGAACCTTCGCGGAGGTTCCGGCGGCGCGCGGGCTGGCGGCGGGCGGGGCGGCGGGGGCGCGGCGGGCACCGGAACCCCCGACCCCGGACCCCGGACCCCGGACCCCGGACCCCCGACGGCGACGCGCCTGGCTGCGGAACCCCGTCCCCCGGACCCCGACCCCCTACCCCGACGGCCGGCTCGCCTGGCTGCGGACCCCTGCCCCCCAGACCCCGACCCCCTACCCCGGACCCCGACGGCCGGCTCGCCTGGCTGCGGACCCCCGCCCGCCAGAGCCCTAGACCCCGGACCCCCGACCCGCGACGGTGACGCGCCTGGCTGCGGACCCCCGACCCCCGACACCGGACCCCCTACCCTGGACCCCAACGGCCGGCTCGCCTGGGTGCGGACCCCCGCCCCCCAGACCCCGACCCCCACCCCGGACCCCGACGGCCGACTCGCCTGGGTGCGGACCCCAGCCCGCCAGAGCTCTAGACCCAGACCCCCGACCTGCGACGGCGACGCGCCTGGCTGCGGACCCCCGACCCCCAGACCCTGACCCCGGACCCCTGATCCCGAGCCCCGGACCCCGACCCTCAGAGCCCCACCCAGACACCCTGGACTCCCGACCCCGACGGCCGGCTCGCCTGGCTGCGGACCCCCGACCCCGGACCCGCGACGGCGACGGCGACGCGCCTGGCTGCGGACCCCCGACCCCAAGAGCCCTAGACCCCGGACCCCCGACCCCAGACCCGCGACGGCGACGCGCCTGGCTGCAGACCCCAAACCCCGACCTGCCTGGCCCCCGATCCGGGACCTGTCCCTGCCCCCCGCCCCTGACGCGGGGCCTGATGCGACCCCGTCGGCTCACCCGGTCTCCTCTGCCGCGCGCTCCTCCGGCTGCCGGTCAGACTCCCCCGAACTCCAGCTCTGACCGCCGCCCCGGGCCATGTCGTGGGAGCTGGGAAAGGGGCTTCGGCGCGGATGCCGCCCTCCGACGACCGTCCCGCTGCCCAGGGTCCGCCGCCTTGCCCTTCCGTGGGTCCCTGGGGCCCCCTGGCCCGAGGACAGGTCGGCTCGAGGGGTCGCGCTGGCGGAAACCCTGCCCGGAGGGGTGGGACTGGGCCCGCTGAGTCCTGCGCTCCGCGCCAGCGCCAGGCCGCGCCCGAGGGGTGTGGCCGCCCTCGGTGCGGTGACGGCCCCGGGCGTGGGAGGCCTGCAGCGCATGGCTGCACCCTTGAGGGGCTGAGGGTGGGCGGGGGTCCGCGGCCATGGCGGGACCCTGGTTCCCGGGGCCCTGCCGCTGCTGGCACCCCCCGGGGTCATCTTCAAGGCTGGCAGGAGCGTAAGCCCTTCCAGTATCGGTCTGTGGTGCTCTGCCTGCCCCAGCTGTGGACCAGGGCCTCCCCGCTCACACGTGGGATTCCCCCCAGTCCCCCACAGGTAAGCAGTGATGTCGGGCGCGCGTGGGCAGTGACGCACTTCAGGGGTGAGTAGACACGTGTCCAGGTCTCCCAAGAGTGGGCAGCAGCCCCTCCTGTCCTGCTGGGGGGAAACCAGAACCACTAAGTTGGGGGCGCCTGGGTGGCTCAGTGGGTTAAAGCCTCTGCCTTCAGCTCAGGTCATGGTCCCAGGGTCCTGGGATCGAGCCCCGCATCGGGCTCTCTGCTCAGCAGGGAGCCTGCTTCCTCCTCTCTCTCTTTGCCTGCCTCTCTGCCTGCTTGTGATGTCTGTCAAATAAATAAATAAAATCTTTAAAAAAAAAAAAAAACTACTAAGGTGGGCCCAGCGATGTGCACTTGAGAGTGGGGGTTGGCACTGGAGCTGGGCCTTGCCTGGGAGGCTGCAGTCACAGGTCTCCCAGCCACCTGGGCTGTGGCCTGCCCTGCCCCGCAGCAGAAACGGGCCTAGGAGTGTTATCAGTAAACTGCAGGCTCCCCGCTCCAGCCCAGCCTTAGATATTGTCAGGGAGGGGAAGCCACCGCTCTCTTCTAGGATCCCCTGGTCTTGTTTGGGGTCCTGTGGCTGAGGCAGGCTCCATGTCCTCTTCCAGGTCTGCAAGAGAGTGATGTGACTTTGAACATCCAAGCAAAATTCAAGCAAAGTTTTTCTGGTTGGGGAGACGCTATTCTCCCCATCCATCAGGCTGCTCTAGAACAGAGCTCTAGGTCTAGCTGCAGGTCAGGGAGCAAATTTCCGTAGCCGCCATCAGAAGCCACCGAGCTTTCGTCTGAGCTCGTCTGCAGGACCTGGTCACAGCCACCTGCCGCCCTTGACATCAGATGGGATGTAACAGCACAGGCTTGCGGCACCGTGGGTCTCCGACCCGGTGCTTCTAGGGGTCCCTGGGTCTGGCTGCACTGCAGACCCATGCCCTTCTGGGGTGTCGCCGAAGCGTCCGTGTTTGCAAAGCTTCCGGTGACTCCAGGAACAGCCAGGGCTGAGAGCTGCTGCCCAGCGCCCGTGCCCACCAGCTTCAGTGCTCCAGATCAGGGACACCGGCATGACAGCCATCCAGGGTGGCCACAGCCTCCAAATGCAGAATAGGGCGATGAACTTGGAAACCATGAGACATGGGTTCACATCCCCACAGGGTTACTTCTGGCTGTGTGACCTTGGGGAGGTGACTAGCCTTTCTGAGCCTTAAATTCCTGGAATTTCCATGGGGATAATAGTAGTAGTGTTTGCTTCCTGACTGTGAGAAGGCCCTGGCCGGCTCCAGACGCTGGTGTACTTTTTGTCTTTCTGCTTTCGTCTAAGTTAAAGCAGCTGACAGAGATCTCTCCTTTGTGAAATCTACCTAGGCTCTTCTTAACTAGGCCCAACCTTGGTCTCTAAAGGCTCGAACACTGACGTGATTTCCAGCAGCTCACGGCCGCATCCCTGAGATGCCCCCCCCCCCCCCCCCCCCCCCCCGGAAGTGCCCTCGTGAGTAACTCAGGGCTGCCGCGACTTGTTGCTGTCTGTTCCGCCCAACACCTGAAGCTGGGGCCTCCATCTCCAGCGTCTGTGAGAGGGTGGAATCGCTGTCAGCGCCAGCAGGCAGACCCAGCCGGTGTTGTGCCTGCGTCTACACTGGCTCCTTGTGAGGGCCTGCCCCTCCCCAGCCGCCCCCCGCCCCTGCTCCCACATCCTTTCTTGGGAACACCGAGTTACTTCTGGACACCTAGAAGCAGACTCTCTTCTCCGCAGCGATATTTAAACCTGCCATCCTCTGACGAACATGACTGGGTGGGGGGGGCAGGAAGAACCTTGCAGAGGAAGGCATGCGCCGTGCACCAGAAGCGATGCCGCCGTCTTGGGCCGAGGGGAAGGGGGCTCGTGCTGCAGCGACGGCAGAACCAAGGCGGAGAGCACAGGGCCAGGGTGGAGGGAGGCTCTGAACTGTGAGAAAAGTGCCTCCTGAGAAGTGTCTGCTTCTCCTCTGACCGACCCTGGGAGCCACTGAATGTCTAAGAGCAGGAGCTGCGTTCCGGGAAGGACACCCAGCGGCAGCCAGCAGCGGCAGTGGGTCCAGACCCGCTGGGAGGGCTTTGAGCAGGGCATGCAGACTCCAGAGGCCAGAGGGCTGACGGGCTGGCCCGAGGGGGTACAGCAGGAGGAAGAGGGCTCCGAGGTGAAGCTGTGGGGAAACCTGCCTCAGAAAGCGGAGGAGGAAGAGCGGCTGTTTGAGACGCCAGGACAGGTGCCGGGCTGTGGAGAGGAGCTGAACCCACGGGAGGCCGGAGTGGTGAAGGAGCAGACAGGCCGGCACCCAGGCAGCAGGGGTCAGAGAGAACAGAGCCTGTGCTCTGGGAGGCAGCCACAGGGGTTCTCGAAGGAGAGGATGCTAATTCGTTGGCTCCCAAAATAGCACTTGTCGCTCCAGGCCTTTGTCAATATCTCAAGGGACTTATGCTTCCCACCTCTCTCTGGGTGTGTGCAACATTGGGCAGATGGCCTCTCCATGAGCCTCAGTTTCCCCTTCTGTACAATGTGGGCAAGAACACCAACCTCACGGGGTTATAAAAAGATGAGTGGAGACTGCCTCAGGGGCTTAATATGGACATGCCCCCAAGACAGAATTTGTGGCTTTCGTCAACAGGTGGTGGGTCCACTCCTGCCAGCTCCCGGGCTCAGTCCAGGGCAGCGGTCTGCCCTTGAGGAGCCCATGGACTGGCTGTGCCAGAGCCCCTGAGTCTAACCACTCCGGGTAGCCCCCAGCGTGGCCCATGTGGCCTGCATGCCAGCCCCAGGACTCATTACAGTCAATATCTCTGTGTTGCTTGAACAGCAAAACCCATGGTTTTGATGCTGTTTCTGTGGACGACCATCTCCAAGAGCCCACTTCCTCCCCAGAGCAGCTGCCCCCAGAAGGGGGGGTGTCTGTTTCAGGAGAAAGGACTTGGGAGTGGGGGAGGAGCCTCCCTGGTGCACATTGGTGGTTCACACGCTGCAGTTCTGAGGTCTTCCCGCCAGGAAGGCTGTGGGCCCACGGGGAACAGACCGTGCGTGCTGGTCCCCTGCCTGTAGGGAGCTCCCAGGGGCCAGCAAGGGAGTGAACCTCTAACTGTGCGATATGAAGAGAGCCAGGAAGGAAAAGCAGAGGCAGACCCCGTCCTCCCCCAACTGCATTTATTACAAAGGGAAGGTCCAAGGCGGCCAGGTCCCGCGCGTCTCCAGGCTGCACTGCTCCAACAGCACTCCCCGCTGTGTGTCTCTGTGCCACAGTCTCATAATTCTCCCAGTATTTCCAGCAGTTTTCTCCTATTTGTTATGGAGATTAGTGACCTGCGATGTTACTACTGTCGCTGTCTAGGGGCCCCAGGAACAGCACCTGCAGGAGACGGTGAACTTGCTGAGAAAAGCTGGGTATGTTCCCACTGCCCCTCCTGCCCGCCGCTGGCCGCCCTGTCCTCTCTCCCCCAAGACACACCACGGTTGAAATTAGGCCACTTAATACCCCGACAGCGGCCTCGAAGTGTCCACACGAAAGGGAACAGTCACCCGTGTCTCACTTTAAGTCAAATCTAGAAAAGATTAAGCTTAGTGAGGAAGGTACGTCAAACGCCAAAATGGGCCAGAAGCTGCCCTTTTACACCCGTTAGCCAAGGCGGGGGGGAGCGGAATACAGGGAAAAGTTCTTGAAGGGGAATTAAAGGACCATGCCTGCGAAGGCGGGAACGACGAAGGGAAAGAGGCGTATTGCTGATACGGAGAACGTCCACGCGGTCTGGACAGAAGGTCCGACAGCCACAGCACGTGCTTCCGCCGGAGCCCAGCCCAGAGCCGGGCCCTCGCGCGCTTCGGGTCCGCGAAGGCAGGGGCAGGGCAGGAGCTGGCAGAGATGGTCCGTGAGGTGTGAGGGGGGACACCGCCTCCAGAACGCAGAAGTGCCGGGTGAGGGCGCGCGTTCCCCGGCAGATCCCACTGCGATCGTTCGGGAAGTGGCTCCCTGAGCAGCACAGCTTGTCAGAGCGGCGGAGACAGCCTTCCACTGAAGATGCTGCCGGCTCGCCCCGCAGCCGCAGAGGGGAAGTCAGCGCCCGGCTTCACTGCTTCAAAGGGCCAGGTGGACTCGTGCAGGGGCTCGGGCTGCTGCTCGCTCGAGGGTGACCCGATGCTCGCGAACCACGCGGGACATCCCTGGGCCACCAGGAGCCGCACTCCGTCCGCTCTGGCCATGCTCTGTCAGTGGCCAAAGCCTGGATGACGGCACGCGTGTTCACAGCACGGTCGACTGGCTCTTTTAAGTCCTCTGCTAGGCAGGCCGCTCAGGAGAAAGGTCCCTGGGAAGGTGCATGCGCTCGCTGACACCGCACCGGCTCGCCCAGGAGCTGTGATGGAGATGGACAAGATTCGTGTTGTCCTCACACCTGTGGATGGTCTGCGGCCTGTGGATGGAGTCATCTCAACTTTCAAGTCTTGTTCTTTAAGAAATACACTTTGCAAGGCTGTGGCTGCTCTAGACAGGGAATTATCTGAGGATCTGGGCACGGTAAGTGGAAAGCCTTCTGGAAAGGGTTCACATCCTAGATGCCATTAAGAACATCCATGATTGGGGCGCCTGGGTGGCTCAGTGGGTTAAGCCTCTGCCTTCGGCTCAGGTCATGATCCCAGGGTCCTGGAATCGAGCCCCGCATCGGGCTCTCTGCTCATCGGGGAGCCTGCTTCCTCCTCTCTCTCTGCCTGCCTCTCTACCT